TCAGGCGTCGTCAGGATCCCGACAGCACCGAAAAACCCAGATCCACGCGTCGGCAGCGTCAGACATCCGGTGTCCCCACGCAAGCTCGCACGGCCAGGAAAGTTCCGAGCCCACGCCGGCTCGCCGAAAAAGCCCGCATTACACGGAACCTTCCGAAAGACAAAACGACTTCCAAGGATCCGGCCCTGGAAAGGAACCTCGACAACAGAATAATACACATACATACAGACACACACACACACACCATCTGTACTCCAAATAAAATGTTCTTGTTTCCGTAACGGAGTACAATTCTTACGTGTACCTTCCCACTGCGAGCGTGTTATAGGATAAGGCTAAGATCTTGTGAACGCAAACTAACGCAACCACAACTAAAAAGTTTTTAAAAAATTCTGTAGAAACTCTCAGAGCTCTATGAGAAGAAAATGGATAATGATTATCTTTTACTATTTTTCGGGAAAGTTGATAGAATTCGAATAAAAAATAATTGAAACAAATAATTTTATAAATATTTCCATAAATATCTTAGAAAATAGAGATCGAATAAAAAATATTTTCAAACAAAAATTGTTTGCTTCTTTACGTAAAATAAAATTCTGCAATAAAAAATATGTTTTTATTTTAAAAAGCAAAGTTGACCTCGACCTGACTTTGATGGCGCCACCCAAGGTCAAACTGTTAAAATCAGTAAATAGATCTTCTTAAGCCCTACAACTTTTATCTAAAATAATTTTCTGTAAAACTTATATTTTTCAAAATATTTTACCGGTCCGATATTTTTTCCGCACCCTGTATATATACAAGGTGTCTGACTCACACTATACCAGAGTTAATATATAGCTAGAATAGATCGGCGTGAGTAATGAAATTGGTATCTTTTTTTAAACAACCATATAAATTTTCGAGTTATTAAATAAAATAGATGGACTAATAAGAACGCGCGACGCCGCAAGTGCGACATACGGCTTGCCGCGGCTGGCGAAGGAAATGGACGCTTGCTCGCGGGCCTATCTCATAGGCCCAGAGGTGGAAACTACGTCTTAGATCTGACACTGAATCACAGATCCACGGTATGGGTATTTTTTTCCAGTTGGTAGAAATGGTACTCTTTATAAATAACAGACCTCATTTCCGTAGTAAAATAAATGGCTCAAATCAACGTAAAATTTCAGCACATTTGAGCGTTAATGGGTTAAAACGTTACGGATGTTTTTGTGCAAAGGTCCTAAAGTTCCTATGCCTTTGCCGCGGCTTTGATTATTAACGTCAGAAGCGAAAAAACGTATGTAAAATTCGTACGAAATATGTCAAAATAAAAAGTTATGTTCATAAAATAACAATTGTGATTAATTAAATATATTTGTAAGTTATTCCGAAAACTTTCCTTTTACTCTAACAATCAATAAATATTAATATAACATTAAGATGACAAAATCATGAAGAAAGATAGAGGAGGATCCCGTTTGCCTACAAATTAATTGCCTACAATATCGATTGCTGACATTCAACTTATCCACATTTCATTTGCATACAAAAATGATTGCCTACAGAACAATTATCTACAAGTTGTATTACGCACAAATAAAAATTAAAAGCCGAACGCTCGTTTGCACACACGACACGCGCACAAATCACATTGCACACATAATATTATTGCCTACACTATGTTTGTCTACATGCTCTATTGCGCACAAATAAAAATTAAGAGACGAATGCACGTTTGCGCACAAAAATTATTGCCTACAGTAAGATTGCTTACAAGTTCTATTGTACACAAATAAAAAAATTAAAAGACGGACGTACGTTTGCACACACCAAACTATTGCGCACAAGCCACATTGCGCATATAATATTATTGCCTACAGTACGTTTGCCAACAAGTTCTATCACGCACAAATAAAAATTAAGAGACAAACGTACGTTTGCACACAAAAATAATTGCCTACAGTACGATTGCCTACAAGCTCTATTGCGCACAAATAAAAATTAAGAGACAAATGTACGTTTAAAATTGGTAATTATCCAGTTATACCGTCTATCTCTAGCTATATAACTGGGGGGTTTCGCCCCCCAACCCCCCCTATCACGGTACAGGAACTGGGGAGCTACAGTCTTTTGTGAGAAATTCACTCTAGCTTAAGCATAAGAGATTATAGCCCCCACCCCCCGTGATACGGGGGCTATGGAGAGCGAAGCCCCCCAGTCACATAGCTAGAGATAGATGGTATGACAACGCGTCGATTGAGCCTATTTTCATCGAAATCGGAGGTGTTGCCGCTAAACTAAATAATTACCATATTATGTGTACAAATGAGCGTTCGGCTTTTAATTTTTTATTTGTGCGTAATAGAGCTTGTAGGTAATCGTAATGTAGACAATTATTTTTGTGTGCAAATGTACGTTTATCTCTTAATTTTTATTTGTGCGTGATAGAACTTGTTGGCAAACGTACTGTAGGCAATAATATTATATGCGCAATAGTTTGCTGTGTGCAAACGTACGTCCGTCTCTTAATTTTTTTATTTGTGCACAATAGAACTTATAAACAATCTTACTGTAGGCAATAATTTTTGTGCGCAAACGTGCATTCGTTTCTTAATTTTTATTTGTGCACAATAGAACTTGTAAACAATCTTACTGTAGGCAATAATTTTTGTGCGCAAACGTGCATTCGTCTCTTAATTTTTATTTGTGCGCAATAGAGCATGTAGACAATCATACTGTAGGCAATAATATTATGTGTGCAATGTGATTTGTGCGCAAGTGTCGTATGTGCAAAGGAGCGTTCGGCTTTTAATTTTTTATTTGTGCGTAATATAACTTGTAGGTAATTGTTCTGTAGGCAATAATTTTTGTGTGCAAATGAAATATGGATAAGTTGAATGTCAGCAATCAATACTATAGGCAATTAATTTGTAGGCAATCGGGACCATCCCAAAGATAAACTAAAAAGAAAGATTACGTTAATTTCTCACAGTTATTTATTGCTTGTTCGAACAAAAAGAAAGTTTTCGTGATATTTAACAAATGTGTTTAATCCATTCCAAAAGTTGTTTTATGGACATATTCTTTTATTTCAGCATATTTCACAAAAAATTTAGGCACGCGTTTTCTCAATTTTAATTAATTTTTATCAATTGAGAGTTTCGAGGGAAAATAACCTTAAGTTTCTATATTCAGTTGTAAAAATATAGCAATATTCTTTGAAATTTCATTTTTAAGAAAAGCAAACACACATTCGCAATATATAAGTTACAGAACTTTTGTTTCAGTCAAATATCTACATTGATATTTCATGATATCAATTTTAATTTCATTTTTATAATTTTTTATCTCTTTTGCCACATACTGAAGAAAGTTCCAATTCATTTTTATTTTGTAATTATGTATTTGTAATTATGTACAATCAATATATGATGTAAACTTTGTAAAAATTTTTGTATTTCAGTATTTCAATATTATTTTAGTATTTTGTCAATAAAGTTTTCAAATATGGCATATATTTAATTTCATGACATTGTTATCTTTAAAATATACAAATTTATACCAACCTCGTTAAGGAAATACAATCGCGGGCTATCCGTGGCAAGTCCTTCAAGCTGTAGGGATTACCGGCAAACTCGTAGTTGGGGTTGAATTCAGTTATCAAATTGCCTGACATCGCGCGCAATGAAGTTAACTCTGTACCGTTGCCGAGTTGACGGCGATGCAGAAGCGCTTTTTTACATTGGAACCGTTTATTTATCGAAAGATCTAGAGTGGATAAGAATTATGAAGTAAATTTATACGCAAAAAACACAAAAGAAGATTAACGAATAGAAGAGTGGAAGACACCTTAGCGATAAACTCTGTATCACGAAGTGTGTGTTCTTACGTTCACTCATAAGGGGGATGTGCGAAGTATACTTACAAAGTATAAGGCCGATTCCAACGATGACTAGCAGGCTGCTCACGACGATTAGCGGGATCATGTACGTCGAATGTATACCCTTCGATTCGTCAGTAACTAGAATTTAATACAATTGATTACGTTGTCCGTATTTGCACGCGGGTACAGTAAATAAGAAATGTCTTGAAATATTGATATATATTTTTTTATAACGTTTCTCTTCGTTGTTTTGTGGATGTTTTTAAGATGTTACATAATAATATTACTCTCCAAATATTCAACAAATATTTTAAAAATATGAGACAAAATTTCTTTTTAATATTACTCAATAAGCAAAAAAACACGAAAGTAATATCCCAAACAACACATGATCATTTCAACATATGATTATTCGAATATAATTATACTGGATGTATATTATATATATATATATATATATATATATATATATATATATATATATATAATATACTGTTAATATCCGTAGAATATTTATTGTATATTATATTCCCAGATAACCAAACCTGCGCGAGCAGATTTTACGCAGAGTCTGTTAGCAGTGTCTGTGACAGAAAGGCAATAGTTTGCACACAATATCTTATCAGACTTTGACGGCAGATTGGAGATGGATTACTCGCAAAGTCTGTTCACAGACTCTAACGGCAACAGGATCTGCGCGCATTCTACTGCCAATCTGCTGTCAGAGTTTGTCAGCAGACTCTGTCAGATAATCTAACAGCAGGTTAAGGACACAGATGTCTATGGATCCGTCGACAGATTCTGCTTGAATTTGTCACCAATCTGACGTCAGTCTGCGCACAGATTGCTTACTGGAATTTTTTAACATATTCTTAGGATATACTGAACTCGACAGTAAGGTTCCATTTAATTGTTGGATATTATAAATATATTCAGAAAGTAATATTTACTTTTTTTGCTAAAATAATTTATATATTTGAATAATGAAAAAGATCAGAATAAAATTTCTCACAATTAGTATGAATTGTTTTATATTTGTTGTTTTAAACTGATTTATTGTTTTCTTTAATCATATCAATATTTGGTTAAAAGTTCGAAACTATTACAATATTTTTTAGATATAACAGTATATCATAAATATGATTCACCAAGATATTGTATCATTAAAGTAATCGAAATAGCTAATTCGATTTTTTTATCTATCTGGTCATTTAAACGGTAGTGACCGTCTGTATCGTCATCGAGTATATCGTTGAATTTGTCTCAATAAGTGTTTTTCAAAAACATATATCTTTGAAATATGCCAACAAGATAAAAAATTAGAGGAAGGTCAGGTAATAGCGGACAGCAAGTTGACTACCCCCCTCTTTCAGTCAACACGCCGATTGTTTTACAGGTGCTGCCTTCAGCGACAAATGCTTGAAACAACTTTTGTCCAATACTAACCGCTGTCCGCTACTACCCGACCTTCCCCTATATATTTATAAGTGTAATTACTAGTTTCATTATTGGCCAAATTTTAATCCCAAATTTTTGGCTAATGTTCTCATTTTGCACATCAATATTATATATCGTTAAACTTGTCTCGGTGAACCTCGGTTTTCAAAAATATATACATCTTTGAAAAATAGACGTAATACTACGTGAGTGTCCCTTGAAAGAAGAGGGTAGGTATCTTATATGGAATTGGAATAGAGAAACACACGTATGAAGTGTAAAAAATACAATGACACAAAAAATAAAGTGCCAATTAATTTTACTTAAGTAAAATAATGAAACATTAGTTTGTCTAGATCATTATAATGGACAAATTTATTAATTTCTTACAAGAGACATTGTCGGTACGTACTGAGGATGTTAGAATGTCAGAAAACGTAAATACAATGTTATTTACAATATTATGATCATAATTATATATATTTACAACATTACTGAAATCTCTAGATCAGGAACAAAGTTTATTCATAATAATGCCTTAAAAAACATTAAAAACAACCTACATTATAAATGTTACATGTTACTGACAAAGGATCTGACAGAACTGTCTCTCACTGATTTTGATGCGCTTTAGATATATTGCATCAAAAATATAGAGCATCAAAAAGTAAGAGATATATATTTTTTTATATCGGCTTATCTCGAGGTTTAGGGGTTAAAACAGCCCCTTGAAAAAAATGAACTTCTTCATTTTTATGGAATAATTCCTATGAGGTATTGGAAAAAATGATTCCTACAAATGTTCTGCAGTATTTAATACTCTTTGCAACGACGTATTTCATTTTTTTAAATGTCAAATTTTTTACTCCCCCTCCCTCTGCTCGTTACCTTCGCAAAATTTTTAAGTTTTTGTAAGGACAAAAATTGTACAGCATTTAAGGAATAACACCAATGTAGAATTTTCAGAAAATCGGTTTTCTTTTTTTCTTTAAAAATATACTTTAGAGTCTTAAAAATGAAGTATAAATAGTTTTATAGCGATAAAAAATGTTTTTCCAAAGTTATAGACTCCCGCGCTAAGCCGGAGCGAGCACGCCGTATTCCGAAACGTTTAGCGCCCGGCTTACCGACTCCGTCGACCGAGTTGGATACGCGACGTCGACATCCTCTACTTAGACCGTTCCATCGACCGAGGTGGATACGCGACGTCGACATCCTCTATCTATACCGTTCCGTCGACCGAGGTGAATACGCGACGTCGCATCTTCTACTTGTACCGTTTCGTCGACCGAGTTGGATTTGCGACGTCGACATCCGCTACTTAGTCCCGTTTCCTCTCACCGCGACAACACCACGCGGCCGAGATCTCCAACGCATTGGAGTGCTCTCGAAAAACGCGTAATCGACGATAAACATACTATCGCACTAATAAGCCGCGCCGACGTCGCCTAACGCATCGCGCGTATACAAATCGCGAAACACACCGCGACAACAGCCGTTCCAAAACCGGCTCGATTAAAAGTCGGTATAAACAATCGTTTAAATCCCGCTGAGTACACAAACTCACAACGCGGGCAATAGAAGACCGCGAAACAACACCAACCGCGTCCCACAAACCGCGCGCGAGCTTACTCGCAGCTGTCATCGCGACGTAAACTCAGACACACAACGCGAAGTAAAAATGTGGCCACACACCAACGGCGTCGCGCTATCTGTATATAATTGTAAATAACATTTACTTTAGAATATAATTTACACTTATTGTTACCCATACCACTGCTTCAAATTTATTGAGCCTAAACCTTGGACCGCACCGACTAAGTCTATCCCGCACGTAACGCAAGAACGTTACAAGAAAATAAAAAAATTTATTTTTTCGTTCTAGACAAAAAATTACAGCACTTACTAGCCGCGGACCATCTTGCCAAATTGATTGTCTCCTTCACGTTGCAGATTCACCATTTTGTAAAATTTAATTATGAAAAAATTATTTTTTATACTTTTTGACATGCCTAATAAAGTTATTTAATACGATTCAGTAAATCAAAAAAAATTCCCAAATGTAAACCTCATTTTCAGCCGATTACATAGGTGTTACCTCTTAATACCAAATCTATCCATATATAGTAGTAATAGTTGGTCTCGCTTTAATCGTTGCAAAACGACGTAATAACGTCGTGCTATAGACGCCACACTGTCCAAGTAGATGGATACTATAGATAGATATGTTACTATAGGTAGGGGAATATAATGACTTGTAGAAAAATTACACAAACAATTGGATATATTTAATATGTAATATTTACAATATATAATGTGTGTGTTATTATATTATATTCATAATTAATATAATATTATATAAAAATCGATACAAAACTTGCATAGACACAGAAAATAAATATGTTTTATTTATAACACATATTCATTACAAAGGTGGTGTTCATGAAAAAAATGTGTGATGCAAAGTGATTGCACCAAGAACAAATAATTACACTGTTCGATAAAAATCGAACTTTTTTTCGTGACACGAGTACGAATAGTCATTTTCAATGTATTTTTACCTGCTGAACACGAATCCATCGTCCAAATTTAGCTATCACAATTTAAAAAAAAACGGCGTCAAAGAGGCCAAAAATCACGATTTTGAGAATTTGCGTGGCGCTGTAGCGTAAACAGTAAATTTTTTTTCTACATTTCGTTAATGCCACGCAAAAGTATCAAGTTTTTAGCTTCATAATGCACCTGGTCGCATTTCCCAATGATTTTTGTTTTCAACATATGACTAATCAGAATCAGTCGTCGGCATCAATATCACTCGGCATAATAATTTTCTTTACAAGAAGATGAATAGTCATTTCCGATGTATTTTTGCCTGCTAAATGCTCCTCATCCATCGTCTAAATTTGGCTGTCACGTCATTTTGAATCATTTTTTGTCTCTTTAACGTCATTTTTCTTAGAATTGTAACGTGATAGCCAAATTTGGACGACGGATTCGTGTTCAGCAAGCAAAAATACATCGGAAATGACTTCATACTCGTGTCACGAAAAAAAGTTCGATTTTTGTCGAACAGTGTAATTATTTGTTCTTGGTGCAAACAATCACTTTGCATCACACGTTTTTTCCACCACCTTTGTAACAAATGTGTGTCATAAATAAAACAAATTTATTTTTTATGTAAGTTTTATACCTTTTTATTGTACCTATAATATTATATTAATTATATTATTAATATAATACACACATATGATTAATATAATAACACACACACATTATATATTGTAAACATTATATATTAAATATATGCAATTGTCTATGTGTAATTTTTCTACAATTCATTATATTCCTCTACCTATAGTAACATATTTATCTACAGTATCCATCTACTTGGACAGTGTGGCGCCTATAGCATGATATTGCAAGGGTTGCTATTTATGTATCCAGAATAATAAACAAAAACAAATATTTATCATTTAAAATGCATTTATTGTTTTTCAAAATATTCTCCGGGGTGATCGATACATTTTTGCATAAGTTTGAACCAATTTTCATAGCACTTTTTCCATTCCGATTGAGGTATCTCCAAAACATGCATTTTGAACGCATCAACCGTTCTTCTGACGTCGAAAATCGTTGACCACGTAGTTTATTCTTCGCGTACGGGGACAAAAAGAAATCATTGGGTGCCAAATCCAGACTGTACGGCGGATGACCCATCAATTCGATGGTTTGACCGGTCAAATATTGAGTTGTTTGGGCCGATGTATGAGAGCTCCCATTGTCATGGTGAAGAATGATCCTGCGTCGCTGGTTGTTTTTTTTTTATTTCACTAATGATTTCTGGTAAACAAATAGTTGTTTACCATTCAGAATTGACCGTTCTACGATCCTCTAGTGGCACTGTAGCCACATGTCCATTTATCCAAAAAAAAACAGGCAACCATTTGCTTTGAAGTGGTTCTTGCGCGAACTTTGTTGAGTTTGGCTCATCTTAGAAGACCCATACAATCGACTGCTGTTTACTTTCGGGCTCATATGCATAGATCCAAGATTCGTTAACTGTGTAGATGTTATATACAGCTTTTGACGCACCACGATTGTATTTTTTGAGCATTTCTTTGCACCAATCGACACAAGCCTGTTTTTGAGCAATTGTCAAATTATGCGGAATCCAACGGGAACAAATTTTTTTATGGCTAAATGTTTATGTAAAATCTTGTGTATGCTTGCCATACTAATGTCCAGGGATGTCTCAATCTCACAGTATGTCACATGACGACCTTGCATTATCAGTTCGCGCACAGCATCGATTGTTTCTGGCACAACCACCGATTTTGGACGACCTTGTTTAAATTCGTCCGTGAGCGAACGACGGCCACAAGTGAATTCACTAAATCAGTGATATACAGTGATAACCAGTGATATACAGTGGTTTTAGATGGTGCTTCATCGCCAAACGTCGAAGTGAGTTGATTGATGCACTGTTGTTGAGATAATCCATGTCGAAAATCGTAAAAAATCATCACATGAAAATGTTCTCAAGTTAATTCCATTTTTTTACTGAGATAAAATTTTCAAGTCACTGTAAACAACACAAATAGCGTCCGTACGACTAAACGTTCTAAGTACGTATATTGTAAAAAATGTCAAACTTTACGATGGAAAAGATGGCGTCATACACTAACAGTGTTGCCAATTCCGGATACATAAATAGCAACTCTCGTATTACGTCGTTTTTCAACGATTAAAGCGAGAGCAACTTTTACTATTATATATGGTTGGATTTGGTATTAAATGCTGTACAATTTTTGTCCTTACAAAAACTTAAAAATTTTACGAAGGTAACAAGTGAAAGGGAGGTGAATAAAAAATTTGACATTTAAAAAAATGAAATACGCCGTTGCAAAGAGTATTAAATACTATAGAACTTTTGTAAAAAACATTTTTTCATATATCTCATATCTTAGGAATTATTCCATAAAAATGAAGAAGTTCATTTTTTCCAAGGGACTGTTTTAATCCCTAAACCTCGAGATAAGCCGATATAAAAAAATATGTCTTATTTTTTTATGCTTTACAACATATCCAAAGCGTATCAAAATCGGTGAGGGACAGTTCTATCAGATCCCTTGTGAGTAACATTATAATAATATTATTGTAATAATATCTTGCTGACAGGATTCCTATTCGTTCACATTCATAATCAATATCGCACACGATTCGTTTTTTTAACTGTTCTCATTAGCAATAGGTATAATCATATATTAATTTTAATTAGAGGTTTTCTGATTTCTAATTCAGAAGCAATATTTCTTCATCGAGAAAAGTCATTATTCATAGCCACTTTCCAATTTTTAATATAACATATTTTTATAACTAAGGCCTAAAGTAAACTTCTGTCAAAGTAAACTCTACTTGAAATTGATCGAAAAAAATAATTCTGTTATTTATTTGGTTTGCGAATATAATCCTGCTTTCCGATAGCTTGTGTCTCGAAAACTGTTTATGTTTTGTTTATTTGTTTTCGTTGAAGAAATATTAATCCTAAATTGTCCACAAAACCTGTCGATAAAATAAAAGAGAATTGTGAGGCCTTTATATGAGGGTATTGGAGAGATAGAAAGCGGAAAAATCAAAATAAATCAGAGTAATTGAAACGAACAAACAGCAACAATGACAATGATATCATATTTACCGATGCATGACTTAGAATCGTTGCTGAGTAACCAGCCTTGAGGACAGAGACATTTGGTTTCACTTAAATATTGGTCGAGAACGACGCAACGATAGTCGCAGCCGCAACCACTAATCGCGGGAATAATGAAAATCTCGCCCGGGCCATAGTGAGCCGCTGCCTTGAAGTAAATATCCGTAAGTCTCTGGCTGATATACGAATAACCACCTTCGCCGTTACCGGATGGCCTGCGACCAGTGCTACCACCTGCGAAAGAATATATAGCGATAATGAACATTTCGATGATATTTGAAATCAACTTCATTACTCCACGATGTTTTAAGAATACCCGTATGAAATCTTCCGCTATAATTATTTCGTCCACACATTCTTGCATAACGACATAAAGCCCATTCTACATTAGTCGCAAATCGCAAGGTCACAAAGAAATTGACTAATCATAATCGATTGTTCTTCTTGTGATCAAAGAATAATCAGTTATGATTGGTCAATTTCCTTGAGATCTTGCAATTGCGACTAATGTAGAATGGGCTTTAGGGGCGCCGCACACGAATTGACATAACAGTAACGTAAAACGTACCGTAAAAATGAACCAATTACAATCGAGTATTCACAAAAATGGCGACCTTACGGTTCGACGATATTCAAAGTGATTGGTCAATTCTTACGGTACGTCTTACGTTACTGTTATGTCAATTCGTGTCTGGCGCCCTTTAAGCGTGGTCTACAATGAAAACTTAAGCCATAAAATTTAAGCTTTAAGTCCTAAGCCGTAAGAAGTTGACCAATCATAGTCAATTATAAGAAAAATAATTTCTTACGGCTTAGAACTTAAAGCTTAAATTTTATGGCTTAAGTTCTCATTGTAAACCACGCTTTAGAGGCTTTCTACAATAAGCAATAAGTTTTAAGTCGCAATAAAATTGACCAATTACAGTGGATTATTCTTCTAATAGTCGACTATGATTGGTCAATTTTATTATGACTTAAGATTTATTGCTTATTGTAGAATGGGCTTTACGGAAAGCAGCACATTAATTGTTTATCGTGTGCAAACTTTCGTCGCGTAGCAAGCGTTGCCGCGTTCTGTCTACAGAAGCCACTATAGTAAAAAAGTAACGATACAAGTAACGATGAATTTCGTTACTCGTTACTAAAGAAAATATAACGTCGTTACTTTTTCGTTACTGATACAGAAAAGTAACAGCGTTACCAAATCGTTACCAAAAAAAAGTAACGAAATAGTAACGTCGTTACAAGTAACGCGTTACTTCCCAACCCTGATTATAAGTATATCACTGCAAATCAGTCAATTATTTCTGATTGAATTAGTTACTTGCTGATTCTTTCTATTACTTCTATCAGTGGTATTTAACTGAAAACAGTTATTATATACAGTGAAATCAGTGAAATACACTATTTTGATCAGTACATCCTTTATGAAAATCTACTTTGAAAAACGCAAAATAGCCTACAAAGTTTATCAAAGAAATTACTTTAATAAACTTGTGATTTCGAACAAAACTGTAAGTATTTCGATAGTATATGAGGCATGATCAAAAAGTTCCCAGCATTTTTAAATTTTGCGCGCTATACATACTTGTCTGAATAAGCTTATGTTTTTTTCTGATGTTGGTATACATACCCATGATGTATGTGACAAATTTTAACTATATTGAATGCGTAGTTTGTTTTTAACAGGCAAATAAGTAAGTGGCATTTTTATGTGCTCGGCGATTTTTTAATTTAGAAAATGACAAAACAAAGAATTTGTATTAAATTTTGTGTTAAAAATTCAAATAAATAATTTAATTTAAAAAAAAGATCAGAGTTATAGAAAAACAATTCGTAGAAATTGTACCACGACAATGCACTAATTTACATTTCTCTACTTGTTCGTGAATTTTTGTTAAAAAATAACACCGTAGTGATACCTCAGCCCCTACGACTCTTTTATATTCCTCAACATCAAGAGAACCATGAAAGAACCGTTTTACAACCATAAAGGAAATAAAAATTAAATTGCTGAAGCAGCTACCAAAAAGTGGAATTAGAAAAAACGTTGGTATAAATGTATTATATCTTATGGGGACTACTTTGAAGGAGACCACATCGATATTGATGAATAAATAAATATGTTTTATAATAAATAACAATTCCCGGAATTTTTTTAACAAATCTCATATTATAAAGGTAGTATATTATAAAAATTACATTAAAAATTATTTATAATAAAAAATATTTTAAAAAAATATTCCTAATTTTTTTCATGTCTCATGATTATTGGGAACCGAAGATTATCAACATAAACTTCAAACGTTCGCGTATTCTCCTTCGATAGCTTTAATTCAGAGTGGTCACTTCCCATTCATGTTCTGACTAATGATAGAAACTTTAACTCCCGTGCTGATGCGTGCTGCTCGGGAGTCAAAGTTCCTATCACTGGTTCTGACCATGCTAAGCTGTACTTAACTTTGACAATCGAGAGGCATGTAGTGATCCCAATGACTCTAACGATGTTCTTAAAACTTATGTTTATAAGGTCTCTGAGGATAATATGACAATGCTAAAGTTTGAAAAATTATCCAGGTGTTATTTTATCGAATTTTGAAAATTCGCTTGCCCCACAGTTTACTTTAGATCCTTGGCAATTAGAAAAAAGATAATAAAAGAATAAATTTAATTCAAACCATAAGAAAATAACATTAAAAGAACGGCATTTTGGCCATACAGAGCGTTCGAGAATCGAATAACATTGGCAATTTTCAATACTTGAGACGAACAGTTCTTCTATTCGTCAGTGATACTCGCGTGAGCAAACCGCTCGCGACGCATGCCGTGCTCGAGCCGCGAGACGTCGAGCTGTCTCTTGGCGTTGTCCCACGCAGAAAAACGAAAAACGAACTCCAACAAAAAGTTCAAGCGAATCGGCAGTCGGCACCCGCCGAGAGATTCACGAGCAGTTCATGCAATTCCTTTTAAGGAAATTTTAGGAGTTCGACACGATCGAATAATCCGTGAGAATCAATCCGCTCGTGTCAAAGAATCTCCAAAAAGCGCTTATATTCTGTCGCGAAACGACCGTCGTGACTCGCTTACAAAGGAACACCGTTTATAGACCAGTCATTAGAGACATTAAACAATAAATAATTCCAAAAAAGATATTTATTGTTTCAAATACTTTATTTAAGTGTAAATATTATACATTTCATTTTGCGTCCACGACTTCAGAGCGAAAGATAATATTATAAAATGAAATAGTATGATATTTTACTATTTGCATTATATCTTCGAAACTTTTTAAAAATTTGTAAAAGCCGCAGAATATTTTTATTTCCTCTATTTTCGTGCAAATAATATGATATCAATCAGAACTCTGTACGATAAATAGTTTCAGAGATACAGCAATTGAAAATTTGAGTAAAAAAAAGCAGAAATCACTAGAAAATACCAACTTTTCACATTTTGCCTCCGCAAACATTTCCTACGTCTGGGACAAGGAAAATATATATGATATTATTAAAAGTAGACTTTATACCGATAAAAATGCGACTATGGAGAGTTCTGTACGATTAACAGAACAGAACACACACACACACACATTCACACGAAAGAGATGTAAATCCAACCGAGGAACCTCCGCGTGATACACCTTGGATAATACTAACGTTGACGGTAACATTTAAGGTTTACTCAGAAAGTACTTAATGAAAAAATACGTTATTATAGTGCTTCGGAAAGATAAACTCTCGAGATAAACAAGAATATGCAATAAAAATATGGGGTTTCATTTAAAATACTAAAGGTGACCTTGTCCTGACCTTGGCGACTCCACCCAAGATCAAATTAAAAATATCAATAAATAGATTTTTTGAAACTCTATAACTTATATTGGAAACACTTTTTCCTAAAATGCTTAGTTTTCGAAATATTTCGCCGTCCCAGAACTTTAATGACATTCTGCATATACAGGATGTTCGAAAAGTGTTTGACCCCCCTCTGATCTCCAAAAGTACGCACTTTCAGAGAAAATGACCCGAATAAAAGTTGTAGGGATTATGAAAGACTTTTGTAATCATGAAAACCATAAACTTAACCTTGAGGGTCATCTGAAGGTCAACATTAAATTTTTTAATGGAAACCCTCTTTTTGATCCCGGATTTGAAAAGGGCGGGAAATTTTATGTTCAGATACGTTTTCATATCAGTGGTCAAAGTGACTCTTAAGAACCACTTGGAGATCAAATTAGTGACAGTCACAGAATATGCAGTGGACGGCGGTATCAAGAAAAATGAATAAAAGTTGTATGAGTCATGAAGGACTATCTTTGGTGATCTTGAATTTAACTTTGAACTTGAACTTGAAGTCGATTTAGATACAGATTCAGTCATCTAAGACAATATCGGTCGCGGACCCGGCCAGTTAAGGCAAGATCAGTCGCAGACCCGACCAGTTAAGACAAGATCGGTCGCAGATACGGCTAGTTAAGGCAAAATCGGTCGCGGACCCGGCCATTTAAGGTAAGATCGGTCGCGAACCCGGCCAGTTAAGACAAGATCGGTCGCAGACCCAGTCCCTAGGGGGTCACTTTGACCACTGATATGAAAACGTATCTGAACGTAAAATTTCCCGCCCTTTTCAAATCCGGGATCAAAAAGGGGGTTTCCATTAAAAAATTCAATGTTGTCATTCAAATGACTCTCAAAGTCAAGTTCAAGGTCAAGTTTAAGGTTACAAAAAGATAGTCCTTCATGATTCCTACGACTTTTGTTTGGATCATTTTCTCTGAAAGTGCGTATTTTTGGAGATCAGAGGGAGGTCCCACATTTTTCAAATAGCTTGTATACAGTAAGAGGCAAAAGTTCCGGAACGGCTAGTTATCTCGAAAAATAATAACTTATTTAAAAAATGTTTTAAATAAAAGTAGGGTTAAAAGGTAAGGTTAAAAATAGGGTTAAATTGTAAGGTTTAAAAAAGGCTATCACACGTTGTTATTTATTTGACTTTATGATAACCTTGAGAAAAGTTATCAAGGTCAACATAAAAATTTTACATAGAACCTCCTACTCTTTTTATTGCATATTCTTGTAGCTTATCTCGAGAGTTTTCCACTATAATAACGTATTTTTTCATTAAATATTTTTTGAGTAATAAAACTTGAAAGTTACAGTACCTAGCCGGCATTAGCATTACTCAAGATATATCGTGTGGAGATTGCGGTCGAATTTACATCTCTATTGCATGTG